CCCCCCGCGACACACAGACACCCCCTCCCGCGCACCATGTCCCCCCGCGCCCCCGTTTCCGCCAAGGCGGCCGGCTTCAACAGCGCGCCGGCCGACGCCAAGGCGGCCATGCAGTCGGACGCCGCCGGCAAGAACGCCAGCCAGACCGGCGAGATCTCGGCCGACTTCCACGCCATCAACGTGGACACCAAGTACTTCCCCGGGCTGGGGTTCCGTAAGGTGGCCTCGGACCCGCGTGACGCCGGTCCCGGGCCCAACTGGCTGCACATCGGCATTCTCTTTGCCATCCCGGTGATCGCCCTGTATGGCGTGCTGACGACCACGCTGCAGTGGCGCACGCTGGTGCTGGCGGTGGTCTGCTACGGGCTGGCCGGGTTCGGCATCACCGGCGGCTACCATCGGATGTATTCCCACCGGTCGTGGTATGCCCCGGGGCCGGTGCGCTTTGTCATCCTGATGCTCGGCGCGGCCGCCGTCCAGGGGTCCTGCAAGTGGTGGTCGCGTAACCACCGCGCGCACCACAAGTTCACCGACACCTCGCGCGATCCGTACAACGTGCGCAAGGGGTTCCTCTATGCGCACATTGGTTGGATGCTTCAGAAGCAGGACCCGAAGGAGGTCGGCCGCGCGGACATCTCCGATCTGAATGCCGACTGGATGGTGCAGTTCCAGCATCGCCACTATCTGGCCCTGTCGCTGCTGCTGTCGATCGTGGTGCCGACCATGATCGCCGGCCTGGGCTGGGGCGACTACCGTGGCGGGTACTTCTATGCCTGCCTGTGTCGGATTCTCTTTGTCCACCATGCCACCTTCTTCGTCAACTCGCTGGCGCACTACCTCGGCGAGCAGGCCTACTCGGATCTGCACACGGCCTTCGACTCGTCGATCACCGCCCTGCTGACCCTCGGCGAGGGGTACCACAACTACCACCACGAGTTCCCGCAGGACTACCGGAATGGCATCCGGTGGTACCACTTCGACCCGACCAAGTGGGGCATCCAGCTGCTGCACAAGCTGGGCCTGGCCTATGACCTGCGGTTCATTTCCGAGAATGAGATCCGCAAGGCCCGTCTGCAGGTGCAGCAGGGCCGCCTGGATGAGCAGCGCAACACCGCCCTCCATGGCCGGGAGCTGGACCGCAACCTGACGGCCTTCAGCGGGGCCGAGCTCCGGGACATGGTGCGCGCGCGCCCCGGGCGCCTGCTCATTGTGCTGGATGGCCGGGTGTTCGATGTGACCGAGTTCGCCGACATCCACCCCGGCGGCTGGGACACCATTCGCCGGCACACCATCTCCCCGGATGCCAAGGAGGACATCGTGGACTTTGGCCATGTGTTCCGCGGCGCGGACAACACCCAGCATGTGCACAGCGTCCATGCGGTGTCGCTGCTGGCGCGCTTCATCGTCGGTGCCTATGTCAAGGACGGTGCCGCCGGCCCGGACCTGGCCTAAGAGAGAGAGCCTGCCGGCTGTCTTTCTCCCTCTCCTCCTTCTCTCTTCCTCTGTGTGTGCGTGTGTGTGCGTGTAAGCGCGCGCGCGCGCACAGTGTCGACAAGCGAGAGCGGCGATGGAGAGGGCCGTGGCCCGAGGCCCGCGGGGAGCGGAGCAGCCAGGGCCCTGGCGCTCTCCTCCCCCCTCCGTCGTCCCCCCGTCTTCCCGCCCGGGCGTGTGGTAGTCTGCGCTCGAGCAGGACACGGGGAGTGGCTTAGATGTGTGTGCTGTCCGGCGCGTAGCGGCCGCGATCGCGCGCGCGCGCGCCATGCGGCGGATTATTGGGGCCCCGGGGCGTCTGTGTACATCTTTTTCTGCGTCTCTCGTGTGCCCCCACTGGCCCCCTCTCTTTGCGTGCCCCCGGTGCGAGGGGTGGGTGGGGGGGACACCTCCGCGCGATGTTGTCATCCTCCCCCCCTCTCCGTCGCGCGCCGTGGTGTCTCTCTCTCTCTCTCT